TAAGTCAGTCTTGACTTGATGGCCATGAGTTTTTGTTTTGTTTTGTTCACCATCCTCTTTTCAGGGAAAAAAAATTATTCAGTGCCCCTGTGGCAATGAAAAACTTTTGTACTATAACCCACAATCCAGGATAAAATGTAGATAATTCCTTTTGCAGCCCCGATCATACTAGTGCCCCCGGGGAGCGGTATCACCCACTCCAGGAAGCATTGTTCTCTATTCCACTTTGGTGAGTAGCTATTGAGATCTTAAAAGGTTGTGAGCAGTCATCTAAAGTGGAGCTATTGGTCTCTTATCATCCCGAGCAAAGAAGAGGGAATAAAATCAAAGAGCAAGGAAACAATTAGTCCAAACACGTAACGGACCATGTGGAACTCAGCCTCAATGACCATGAAACCAGAACGAGATGGTGCCTGTCTGTCACAGCGGTCCACTCTGAAAAGGGTGACAATGGAGGCTCTTGGAAAGAGCGGAGAAAAATGCGTAACAACTCAAAACACACAGACGATCAGACTTACTGCTCAGACACGGGCTGGTGGAACCCTTAAGACTACAGCAATTAGGCTTTCACTACTCGGCTCAACTTTCAGTCATAGTGCGGTCTATAAGAGAGGAAATCACTTCATAGAACAAGCAATCCTTCCAGATGAAAACAAAACAAACAGCCTTTGCCCAGGGATAAAGCTGAGAAGGAAGGCAGAAAAGAAGGTCCCAAGGGAAAGGAGAGCAGTAAGCACACCAAGGCAGCAGGAAGGATGCTGTTAACATTGCAGGGATTGCAACCAGTGTCACAAACCAGAACGTGTGTGACTGTGGGGCGCAAAATCAATTTGCTCTGAAAACTTCCATGGAAATCACTATTATGTGTATAAACTATTAACAATTAAATGGATATGGTTCTTGACTCCTGAATATTTACAAAAGTTTTCTTTGGTATCAATGCCCCAATGTTCTACTACCATATCATAGTCAAACCCTATTTCCATTTTTGATAGTCAAGTGGTTGAAACGTTTTGGAATTCGGTATGTACATTAGATACCTGTGACTTTCCTGATTTGATTGAAGAGTTTGAGGATGAGCACAGCTGTCTTCTTGAGGATTTAAATGGATAATCACTTCTTTAGATTTGTCATGGGTATAATTGCTAATTGGCAGAGGAAAGAAAATATGAAAATACCTTAGTCATACATGTTGCAGTTT